TTTTTTTAATATAAAGACTGGACAAAGGCCTGTAAGGTTTCAATTAATTGAAAATCTGGTATCAGAATGAAAACTGCAAATAAATCAAAATCAGCTCTTTCAAATCAATCTGCAGTGTCAGGATTTTGACTCCTGTAAGAGATTAGAGGACCCACTATGAAGAAGCAGTGCACCTAGTGACCTGTCTGTTTAAAAACTACTAAAAGGAAATGCTCTGATATAAATATTGACTTTCTTTTGTTGTGTTTTTACAGATTCAGCCATGGATCTTGTGCTGAATGTCGCTGACTACTACTTCTTCACGCCGTACGTGTACCCAGCGTCGTGGCCTGAAGACGGAGCCCTGCGGCAGATTATCAGCCTGCTGGTGGTGACGAACCTCGGAGCTGCAGTCCTGTACCTGGGCCTGGGAGCCATCAGCTACTACTTCATCTTCGACCACAATCTGATGAAACACCCACACTTCTTGGAGGTATAAAGCCCATATCTTGTTTTTATGACTGAGTGTTGGCAGAGCTAAAGCCTGCAATCAATTGACCTTTGTATCTGCAAAAGGGTGTACAGATTTATAGGAACACTTGCAAATTACTGTCGTGTGCACACTATGGCTTCAAAACCAAGAATTAATAGTGTTTTTATTGCGAAACTAACTGTATTTTATAGTTGTTTATGTTACTGGTTTCACCTCCTGTAGTGTTGTTAATGCTTTTCCTGCCTAACGGACATGTAGTGTCTACATGTAGTGCTTTAATTGGGCCATTTAACTGGGGTGAGGGTCTCTTCATGAAAGCCTTTGTGTGTCTTTTAAGGCTGGGTGAGATTAATTTTTGTTTTTTTAGCCCCCAAACTACTTTGTTTGAAATGCGCTTTGATAATTTTGTCCATCAAAGTTAATAACAGGAATTCCCCACATTGGTTTCATTTTTTTTCATTCTTATTTATTTTATTACATATTAAAAAAATGTTACTTATTGTTATTTGTAGAATCAAGTATGGCGAGAAATCAAATATGCGATGACCTCTCTGCCCGTGATCAGCATTCCCACTGTGGCTTTGTTTTTCACTGAAGTCAGAGGCTACAGCAAACTCTACGATCATGTCGCCGATTCGCCCCTCGGTAAGCTGAAGAAGCAGCAGAAAATGTTTCAAATTTTCCTAAAGTTTTTGTCGGTGACACGACCTCTGTGCTTTCAGGTTGGCCCGGACTTTTCCTGAGTATGATTTCATTCCTGTTCTTTACTGACATGTGCATCTACTGGATTCACCGCTTCTTACACCATAAGCTTATTTACAAGGTGAGGACACTTGTGTTTTTTCATACTGGCAATATACAATTGCTGAATAGTGGAAATGTCTTTATCGTGCGTTAAACTTTATTGACCTCACTGCTCTCTTGTCCCCAACAGCTGTTTCACAAACCACACCACATCTGGAAGATCCCCACTCCCTTTGCCAGTCATGCTTTTCATCCAGTGGACGGCTTCCTGCAAGGAATGCCCTACCACATCTACCCGTTCCTCTTCCCCCTCCACAAGGTGCTCTACTTGGTTCTTTACGTTTTCGTTAACATCTGGACCATCTCCATCCACGACGGCGACTATCGTGTACCCGGAGCTCTGACGAGCGTCATCAACGGCTCAGCTCACCACACTGACCACCACCTCTTCTTCGACTACAACTACGGTCAATATTTCACTCTGTGGGACCGCCTGGGAGGCTCCTACAGGCACCCGTCAGCTCTGATGGGGAAAGGTCCCCATGATCTGATCAGGAAACTTCAAGCAGAGGGAAAGTTGGGAAATGACGAAGCGAAGCCTAACGGGCAAGTGAATGGACGGGCGCAGAGGGGAGTTACCTGTAAGGAGGAGTAACAGTACGCGGGTTATGAATAATTTCAGAAAGTGATCTCTATTTTTTTGTAAAGACAATTTGCTAAAGCCCAGCGTATTGGAGAGTAATTGGAGTTCATGTATGTGCCAAATGAGCCTTTGTAAGAATTGAGTTCTTGTGGAGCAATGAGTGAATGTGAAACGGCTGCCCCTGGTTGGACTGCACACACATACCAATCACAAACTATCGACTAACATCCGGAGATGGGGTGTTGTTTTGTAGTGTAACAGATTTTTGCGAACCGCACAGCAAAGAGACTTGAGGATCACCAGAAAGCTGGAGCTGCTGGAGCTACTGGAGCTTCTTCAGTCACAAACCAGCCCTGAGGCTGATTTCACAGGGCTCTACTATAGCCAGAGGTTTTTATTTGACAGGTTATAAATCAGAGTAACCCAAAAGTTGAAACACTGGCTAATCAGCCATGCCTACTTTGCACTTCCAGCTTTTATTATTATTATTATTTTTTTTAAGAGTCATAAGAAACATAAGAGAAGAGCAGCAGAAGCCTCATTAACTTTAATTTTTCAGAAGTCGTGTCTTCTGTTGCAATTTAATTAAAATATTGAGAAGATGGCAATTATAACTAACCGTTAGAAATTACGTTGCCAACAGAAGTGTCAAAGAAATTCTGAAACATTTAAAAAATCTTAGAAAATGTGTTTTATAGATATATACTGGGCAGTTTCCTCTCGGTAGGGAATAAAGTTTGTGGGATAAATATGGGTGCCACATGTGGTTCATTTATTCTTAAGCCCTCACATGGATTATATACTTCCATCCCCCTCAAAGCACTGATGTGGTGTGATGCATACAACTCCATATTCTTGGTTCTTTCTTTTCGAGCTCTGCAGGATTTTTTTTCATGTGCACTGATTCTGGTTATAAAGACAAGAGAATAGTTGAACGCGATCATTTAATACATGTTTTGCATTTTAATACTATAGCTGTAGCATGCAACATAGAACTGCAATAAATGTATGCACCGAAAGATCACACAGCTCATGTCAGTCTTTCCTGAGATTACATTAGCATCATTGTCAGTGTGTTGATGGATACAGAGTAGAAATGCTTTGTGGATATTTTTTTTTTTTTGAAATATTAATACAATAATAAATTTGAAATATATTTTGGGAAAATAGTGTCTCTTTATATTTTATTTTAAGAGCTTGTATTTTATGGAAGCTTGTTTCCACTTCCAAAAACAACTTCTTTTTTTGCTTGGGATTAATGTCTCAAAATTTCAACTAAATAACTCAACTGACTCATGGGTGCCAAATGTTTTCCTTATTGGTGGACTCCTCAAACTTCCATAGTTGTTGGACTTGCAGTTGTAGTTTAAACCCATGGTTTCATCAAACACTTTGACCTAAAGGCAAGCTGACTGCCTAAGACGCAGTCTTCAGTCCCTTGAAGTTTGACCTGCTGAGCTTTTGGGTCATCCGTCCATCTTCAGGTAGTCGAGGCAGCGATACTGACGAGAGCTATGAAAAATGCTAGTTAGTGGTTGTATAGCTAGGACTGTTGTGCAGTGAAAACAAAAGTGAATTTCAGTGTATTATAATTTATTTTTAATATATCTACTTGTTTTCTAGTGAGGTGCTAATATCTTAATATTTCTTACAAACTACACTTTGTCTAGAATTCCACTAGTAAAATAACTCGTATATAAAACCAACTTCCTGCTTTGCAAACGTTCATAAGTGGTGATGTAAAACTCTACAACCTTGGTGCTGTTGCAGTACAATGTGTAGTGTTATACCAAGAGTTTTGTGCATAAATCTAAACAAGTAATTTTTGGTGCTTAAACTTAACCAGCAAGTAAAAGCAAAACTTACAAAAGACAAGTGAGAACAAAGTGCACAAAGCTCCCAAAAACCACGTTCTCGTATGTACGCTTTAAAACCGTAATGTTTGTTCTTCTAATATTGTAGCAGCCAGTATTTTTAAAACACAGACGACACAGGGGAGCAGCATCTGACAGTGTTTTACACGTTTAAGATGACAACGCAGGTTTTATATGCTCATAATAAAGAACAGAAGCAGCTTTTTTATCAGAGCAAGTATGATGGGAAAGCCTGTTCTACACATGCTCGTTAGATGTCCAACTCCCTTGTCTTGGTGACAGGCAGGCTTTGCTCTCCTGTCAGTCATGTCAGTCATCTCAGCAAAAAAACAAGGGCATCCAAAGGAAGGATCGCATGGCTGCCCCGGCTGCCATTCCTGCTAACATTCCCAGTGCTAGATGCTCCACCACGCCATCAAACGGGTCCCTTTGAACAACCACCTGGTGGGTTCCTAAAATATAGACAGAAAGAAGACACTTATACCATTTGTGTTAACATGACAGTCGCTTTGAATGTCTAGAAAAATAAGGGCAGATCAGGATTGTAAAAAGGGACAATGTCAGAACAGTCCGCAACTTGAAGATCATTGTGGTGCTGTGGATTGTGCACCGATGATGAACTGAACTCATTTATTGACAAAGGCCTTTTTCCTGGTCCCGAATTTAAGTATCAGCTCGTGTCAAATCCCAGTTGTGCTTATTAAAATGAACTTAAACTAACTGGCATACAGTGTGCCGGTATTGCAGTATCGATGGGCTTCTGTGCAAAAACTAACCACAGATGCGCGTATCTACCACTTCCACTGGAAATTTAAACGCAAGATCGATGCATAAACAAAAAACATGAAGTCAAAACAGCATAAGCATCATTTCTGGATGAAAACACCTAAACATTCCCTGAGGTTATAAGAGAATGATCAGACTTCTGTTAGGAAGGCAACAGTAACTCAAATATCCACTGATTACATTCCAAGTTTGCAGAAGAGCATCTTTGAGTGTAGATGGGCTGCAGCAGCAGAAGACCACACTGGCCCAGCTAGGCCCAGGAAAATGACAATACAATTCACACAGGCTCAACAAAACTCTACAACCATGGGATAACACACCATGTCACAAACTCTTTTCTTGAACATGACCATAACTTCATCATGCTGAAACTTTCTCCACAGTCACCAGATCTCAATCCAGCGGATCAGCTTTAGGATGTGGCGGAGCAAGAGATTTTTACATCGTGAACGTGAAGCTGATGAATCTGAAGCATGTGATGCTATCTTGTCATTGTGGACCAAAATGTCTGAGGAATGTTTCTAGTACTTAGTTGAATCCATGCCTATGAAGAACTAAAGCATTGCCAAAGCCAAAAGGGCCTTTTAACCCAATGCTAGCAATGCAAACATAAGTGAAGTGAATGTATAAAACACATGGCATAATACTTTCAAAGTAAAATCCTATAGGCTTTTACTTTTAAAAGAAAATCATTAAAACCCAATTAAGTGAAGTATTTAAAGCCCCACTAATCTGCCTCTTGGCTCATTTACAGAGCAGGTGTGTGGACTTGTGTCCAGCTAAATGTGGACACAAATATAAAACACTTACAACATCATAAAGAAAAATTGTTATTAGCATACCAATTACTGTTATTAGTCTAAGCACTGCTCACTGTCACGTTTAAAAAAAGGTTGCTTTGTTCTACTTAATTTATTGCTGATTCAAAGCACCGCCCAGCAGGAGCATCAAGTGCCCTAAATCTAGCTCCAGAATTCAATTAGCTCACACACTGAGCAGATGTGTGGAGGCAAACAGTGCAGCAAGAAAGAGTACTCAGAGTAACACATGTCACATGTGGGAAACCTTACAAAAAATATGCATTATCACACATGAAGAGGTTATACAGAGGTAAGTGCAGTGAATGGTTCTGGGTTTTCTGACTGTTTCCTCACAGGCTACATACCAGCTACATCATAAGTGCTCAGTTCTTGTGGTGTGCCATGTTTTATAAAACATACTGCAGCAACCAAAGCAGTTATGGATTATTTAGATTACTGTTGAATTGTCTGCTTCTTTGGAAGAAGAAGACAGCTGCCATATTTCAATTCCCTGTTGTTTACAGGATTCAGAAAAGAGCCCTCATAAGCCAGCCTGTTTTTGCTCGATAGGATATGGTCTAGGATAATAAATGCAAATGAATGCTGTTGTTTTTGATCCAGTATATAGACCGCAGCATTAGATTTATTTAGTGTAGAGCTAAATGCTTCTTTAAAATGCTCCACTTGGTTAATTTTATTGTCCTAAAATTACAATATTAAAGGGAACTATTATAATTTTACATACTCCATACAAAAAAATGGCTACATATTATAATATATGTACTATGTATTATATTAAGTCGATAATAAGTCTAGTTTTCTGTGTTAAGCTATGATATCTTACCTGGTCCTGCTCCAGGTGTTATGTAGACAGTATGGCGGCTATTGAGGGGGACAGCCTGGTAGGAGTCATCATATGGGTCATATGTGAACACCTACAGTGAAAAAAGCAAAGCACTACTTTTAGCTCTGTGGTGGAAACACTATCTGAGAGCTTGCTGATCGTGTTTAAGCTTTTTACAGAAAGCATGAAGCACTCACCGGGTTTCTTCTGGTCTGCAGCAGAGTCAGTTTCCACGCTCTGAAAAATAAACAAGCAGGACTGAGAAACTGAGGGACGGTTGTGAAGTAAAGCAGAGAATAATGAGGCGAAGCGTGAGTACCTACATTGATTCGTCTTCACTGTTTGCGCACAGGTTGAGTGTTGAGCCGTCCATGAGGTGAACCACGACGAGATTCTCCCTGGGATTGCTCTCTGGTGGAGTCACACCTGGAGTAAAATTAAAGGAGTAAATTACCCATATTTGTTAACCCCTTAGCAGTCGGACGTACCGCCCACGGGACATTGGATGGTTTAGGGGACTAATTGGACTGCTAAGGGGTTAAAGGTAAACCAAAGGTGAGAATGAATGAGCTAAAGCTTCTTTCCTATTTTATAGCAAACTGCGACCAGGCCTACTGTAAGAATACACGTTTTTGCCATGGACATGGTAATCTATTATCATGAGATATTTTCTTCTAAACTTCTATACAGTCTGACCAATATGGTCTTTAAAATACTGCACATTTAAAGCACTTCTGTGTGTCAGCGTTCACACTTAAATAGTGATGGAACATGTTCGCTTCTGGGTATAATTGTATCACAGATCCGTGCCGTACCTCCACATTCCTGACCGGACTGCACATCTATGCATGCTAGTTTGAGACTGACGCGATGCTCCAGCTCTCGCCTGTTGTCTGACTTGTAAAAGCAAAGACTCCCATCGATCCAAAGGTCACACCAGTTGAGCTTCCAGCGTTTTAGGACAGAAGCTGGAGAGGAGACACATGCCACATTGTAAAATTAGTGCATGGTAAGGTGCTGGGATAACTTTAAACTTCAGTTTAACATCCTTCTGTTGCAGGCCTCACATCTCAGGTGATTTAGTAGTTGCTTTTGAATGTAGTCCCACCCCTACCCCTCCCACCAAGCAGGTGTATCTCCATTGAGTGTCCTTGATAAGCCACTTAAAGGCATGGCCAAGAACAAATAATGAGATTACAAGTTACAAAGGGTAGAGTTTCATAATGCGTGAAGTTTTCTAGAAAATCCTCAGTGTCGAGTTTGCAATCTGGTCACTAACACAAATACACAACACAACATACATGAAAAACAGCCCACATGTATTAGCTATGATTAGAATAAAGCTAATAAATGATAGTAGAATTTAAAGCTTTAAAACTCTGGGATGTTGTTATGAACCAATGCAGTATTGGTCATCTGTAGACACAAAGCATCTAACCGAGCAGTTAGCAGTTTGAAGCAGGCAGCTGTATTTAGTGAGCTGCTTTAAAATTCAAAGGATAGCCTTCACAGAGATATGCAGCACACTGCCTGTCCCACGATAAAATTGTAATCTGCAAAAATGCAAAAGGTTTCAAATACATTTCACTGTGCTAAGTGTTATCACTTTATTCAACGCAGTTTAACATTTACCCAAAAAGGTGAGGTAAAATGTGCATGTAACATGCTACATGTCACATGACTAGTCTAGATGTTGATGCTCATACTTAGTCAAACTCCTTAAAAACAGAAAAGTAAAAGAAAATGCAACGGCCCTTATCACTACACTTAACAAATGCAGGTGAAATGGGTGAATATTATTTTAATTATAAGTCTTGTCCTGTAGGTCTTGTCTCTTAAAGCACCCAAAAAATGAAGCCTACATGTTTTTATACATTAACTGAACCGAATAATCGAACCTTTAAGTTACTAGCACTAATTTTATTATAGAATTCCCTGAATTTGTGAAGAAAAAAAACTTACTCTGTCTCCACAACCAGCTTGATTTCAGGAGCGCCATAATCCTCGGATGTTGTTCTTGTTATTAGTTTGCTGTGATAATAATCCAGGAGCAAAAGGCTTGCTTATGTCTAAGAGACTCTGCTGTTGGAGGCCTTTGCCTGGGTTTATATGGCCTCTGTCCTGCGGATATTGAGGTATTGGTAGATTAATCTGGCTCTCACCAGGACTGACACTGATTCAGAGGATCATTCTGGATTAGGAGACCACGCCCTCTCTCAACCCCCCCATCACTCTTTCTGAACTGATTTCTCTATCACACACTTGCACTGTGGGCCACACAATGTTTAAGTTGTTGAACACTCTTATTACATAAACTAAACTCCTGTAGGCCTCAATCCACAGATTCATCTGCACATGCATGACATGCTTTTACAATTTAATCCCTGTCCTAAAATAACATCCAGAGGATTAGCCTAATATTACCCAGGTCAGTTCTGTCAGTCTTCTCAGAATGTCTGCAGGTGATGCATGATGACATCATTTCCTTTTCTAGCCTACAGAAAGTTCTGGTCTTGTTTACATCAGCTCAGTCTCCTGATGGTGTGTTTACACCAGTTCCTAAATTCGGAACTAGTTTTTGTTTGTTTGTTTGTTTGTTTGTTTGTTTGTTTGTTTGTTTGTTTGTTTGTTTGTTTGTTTGTTTGTTTTGTTTGTTTTGTTTGTTTTGTTTGTTTGTTTGTTTGTTTTAACTGTGTGTCAATATGTTATGTTGTCACACCCCATACAAGCTCTGAAATGGCGGCTTTCCTCCCATTGTTACAGTTTTTCCATGAACCACTTGGTGATTATTGTTGATGAACAGTTTTGAAACTCGGCATGAACTAAATATTAATATATACAATTTTATTAATAATAATAATGACGATACACTGAGTGTTAATGGTTTACTGGAGCATGCCTCTCTGTTTTTAAGGGACACAAAAGCACGTACCCACAGGTAAAATGGTAGAGAAGTTGCAGAAGTGGTTCTGTTTCTTTAGGAGTTGCTATTTGACATCCAGGGCATGACTTGTCTTGTAAACATTTCAATCACAGTGGGGATCGTGGAGAATCTTGACTGCCGCCTCTCATAATTCCCAGCAGGCGTCTTTATTTGAAAGCTCGGCTCACTGCAGTCAGAAGACGTATATGTGCTGCTGTTGTGTTTGATGAACAGAATCCGCTCTCTGATTGTCAAATTTTTCATTTTAATATATTTCTTCTTATCTAAAGCTTTTTTCCCCTCTAAGTGATGTTTCTCTCGGTCCCTTCATATAACTCCTGCTGTTTTATTTAAGAGTTGAACCCCTGAAATCAGTTATAATCTGACATTTTTCAGTAGCCAGCTTCCATCATGTTTGCCATAGAAATATTTTAATGTATACCCAAAATGTTGGCATTTAATACTCAGTCTAAAACATACACAGTAACTCAGTCAGACATCTTTCTTTGCCCAGTTTACCCACTATTACTCTTCTCCACATCTTCAGTTCATCTGAACCTTCCCTAATGGTCGCTACCAGTGAAAACCATTACATCTTCAGCTCTGCCACCTTTTTGTCAGTGCCACGGTCTCCAAACTATACATCAGAGCAGGTCTCACTTCAATCTTGTAAACATTCCCTTCTTACTGTTCTTCTGTCACACCAGAGAGAGAGTGAGAGGTGAGTAAATATTGGCGGATGAACCACATAAAATACTGACGTCAACTCATGAATGAATGAAAAAGTACTGAAACCACTATATAATGGAATAAATGGCTTTTGGTGTGCACATTCAAAAATAATTTTACAAAGCAATAAAGACTAAAGTAAGAAAATAAATGCGAAGAATGCTAATTTACAAATGTCATGTTGATTTTTGTATTTAATGGTAAAGTTTATGACATTTCACAGTGGTTAAAAAAAGAATGGTTCCTCCAAATGGGCTTTTTCTTTCCTTTCTTCCACTTCATGAGCACTTGCATGCACCAAGAGTTTAGAGCCTGATAAATGTGAACATTTATTGATGAAAACATGGCAAAATGGCCTTTTCTGCTCTATTTTTGATCCCGTGTGCATGAGAGAAAAGCCAAAATAAATTCAAACTCTTGAACCCAGTTCTTTTTTTTTTTGTCATTAAAGATGTATGCTCAGAGAAATCCTTAAAAGCCCCAAACTACCATGACATCCGTGGCCATGATGAGAGTAAACTTCTGATGATTTCTCTTAGCAAATGTGCTGCGTCTAACTGTTTGTCGTCATGTTCCTCCTCTGCAAAGCTATAAAACACGAAAGCTATTTAAAAGTAAATCATGACATATAGATCAGTAAAGTAACAATAAACACATCGAACTACATATTGCTCCTCCAGGATCACTGAATAAAGAGTGCAACAGCGTGACTTACTCACAAATTGGTCCAAATCACAGTTTGTTTCTCCCCCAAAACTCTCCTGACTGTTCCACAGTGTTTGTGGTTAGGTTGGAGGAGCTGCAGATGCTTGTGTACGGATAGAGCCGAATTATAATCATGGCTGTATGAAATATTTACTGTTGGGAGATATGATGTAAACCCCAGGGTTATGATCTGAATGTAGCACAAATGTGGAAAACAAAAGAGAGACGGAGAGAGAGGGACGCTATGTTTGTTGGCTGCTTTTTGTCTGCTGTTGTGCAACTCCCACAGCTGCAGCGGCGGACAGACGGCTCACTCACTACTCGGTGGGTCAACAAAACTTTTGGATATCTCTGTAACTCATTGGCGGTGTGGCACAGTCGCATTATTTGAGCCATGGGTGGACTTTGGACAGATTCGTGCACAACAGCTCCTGGCAGAAAGAGATAACACCACAGATTTTTTTTTTTTATCCATTTAGAAGCACGGTGGTCTCGGAAGTGATCTAAAGGTGAAGGGGCTATGTTAGCAGGTGTTTGATTTTATAGTTAAAGTTATTAAAAATTATATGGAAAAAGGGAGAAGACTGACAGTGAGAGAACATTTATAGAGTTGGAAAAGTCAACATCCTCCTGGGTAAATCCATAAATGACTAAATAAAGCTTCATAGAAATACAGATATGAGTTGAAGTGTTATTTCAGTCCAGATCAATGTGAGGGAGCCACAGTCTCCACTGAGACACAGTTAAATATCAATTAAAACTAAATCTTTGTACCAAGTGTTTTATTTATTTATTTAATATTTACCAAACTAAAATACATACACTACGTAAAACCAGGTACATTTCGACCTTTCAGCCCTAAACTGCTGCACATGCGCTGATGAATCAGATTAAAATCTTCAATTTTCTTATTGCTGAGGATCTTCTGGGGGCCAAAGACTCCTCCAGATGGCTGATAGCCTGCTTTGGTCTCACAGAGCTGGTATAACACAGAGCTCAAGACTAAACATTATTGGCAAACTTACAGTGAAATTGCGCATAACTTTATTAAAAATGATGTACCTTTTTGTTTTTGATCAATTAAAAGCTCTACTTTCAGGCCAAAAACAAACTTATGATTGAAATGGGTTGGTACACTTATGAAAGAAAAAAGGCTAATATGTCTATACACAGTTTGCTGCTTTTAGTAGTAAAATAGCAAAAGAAAAATATGAGAGCTCAGTAAGAGCCTACTGTCGATAATCAATGACTGATAGCGATCACTGTGATGACTTATTCATCCATTTGCCTTTTTTTTCTTAAGTAAGGATATCCCATCATCTGCTGTATTGTTAATTTTTTTAAAGCTGTCATGTGGCATGATGATAAAATTCAATCTTGTAGGCACACTCAAATGCACTCAGCTTAAAATGCATGTTTTTGAACTGTGTGAGGAAAACTGAAGAAAATTAACCGACAGAGGCACAGAGAGGCAAGTCAGGCCCATAAAGGCCCCACTCACCCAGTGGAGCATTGTGCTGCACTGTGTAAATCTAATAGCGTTACACTGCATAGTGATACATTTTTTTCAGTTTTCCTGCAGAATGAATACTTTAGATGTTGACAGAAAAGTAGATTTACCTTGTAATGGCCTGATGTTCTAAATGCAGGGCTTTCACCTGCATGGAGCATTTTCAAATTCTTACATTGGTCTTGACGACCTAAACACATCTTCAACCACTGCTTTTTAATGTTAACGTTTTCATGCATGAGCCTCATTGTCACATATATTTCGGATCTATATTAGAAAAGGAGCTGAGGGTGAACTGATACCCTGCTGGCTTCACACAACTCATAAACTTCTCTCTTCCACAGGAGCCCACAAAACTTCATGGCTGCCATCTGGTGGCAACATTATGTAGGCCTGTTAACTCCAGTGACGCTGACATATTCATGTTGCAGGTGATACTCTAAATGAAGAAAAAAATGAACTCACTAAAAGACACATGCCTTTTATTCTTTTGCCAGTTATATAAAGTTAGAGAACTGAAAACTAGTTTGATTAAATGCCATTTAATGGCATGAACTTTATTAGGAGTTATTGCTGTGCAGGCAAAAATGTAAGCAATGTTGTACAGTAATCATAAATCAAAACTATTCTGGCTTTATAAGTGAACTTAAATCTAACATACACATGTCGTTAATGTACAGTCATAGTGAATAATTTATTTTATGTGATAAACGTGTGTCAGTTCCCATCACTTTATGCACATCATTAAAAACGTGTTGTTTTTTTTTAACTACATGAGTGTTAAAGCATTGGTATACACCGCAGACTGTATATAAATGTTTTATAAAATATATTTTATACATACAGTGATCTGAGTATTTGCCCAATACCTAATTAATTATTGGGGGGTGGGGTTTTGCATTTCTGTCACGTTTAAATGTTTTAGATCATAAAAAAACATTTCAACATTTCATTCATTCAAGGAAAGAAAAAATATCCAAACCTAGCCCTGTGTGGAAAAACCCTGCTAAATGTGCCACCCTTGGCAGCAAGAACTGCAAATAAGCATATGTGATAAATGGCAATGAGTCTTTATCATCGCCGTAGAGGAATTTTCGCCCACTCTTCTTTGCAGAAGTGTTTTAATTCAGCTACACTGGAGATTTTTCAAGCTTGAACGGCCTGTTAAATATCATCTCAATACATCTTAAAAGGATTTAAGTGCAGACTTTGATTAGGCCAGGTTCGTCAGCATTTCAACTTTTCTCCATTTGTGAATAATGGCTCTCACAGTGTCTTGATGCATGCTCAGTCATCCAGAT